AGTGCTTGTTATTATAAGGGAGAGAGCTGCTGTTAACAAGAGTGATTATTAGAATTTAATAACCATGAGCTACTGGGTTAATTGTTCTAATAATTGAAAAGGGGGATAACTTTTGGATTGAAGGCAGTTAGGGATTAGACGAGTCCTCCCGCCACCAGTTTAAACAGAATGTTTTCTAGACTGTCCATGGAGTAAAAGCCCTAGGAACTAGGAACTTTCTGGACCCTTTAAATGGAGAGCTGGTCAATAGTCAGTCGATGAGAAGCGAGGTTTAGGTGGGGCTGGCTATTGCACAATAACATACATACCCCACCCTAAAAAAATAATTAACAGAAGCAAACTACACAAAACCCAATGATGAGATCACTTTTTCCATGACCGTAAATGAGCTCATGTGAGAAACAGCAGAGTTATTTGTTGATATGGGAACAATCCAAACAGTTGTCCAGCTGGTGTAATGAAACCAAACAACAGACTCATAAAGTGTCCCGTCATTTGACAGTTACAGTCAACGTACTTTCTCACAACTATTCCTTCTCTGCTGAGCTTCCAGACAGTGGTTGCAACATTCAGTGTGGTTGAGCTCCTTGGACAAAGGTTACAGAGGATTAACATTGTTTTAGAATGTAATCCCATTGTAACGTAAAGTACACAGTGTCTGTCATCTTTGCATTTATCTTCTTAACATAAATTGTTGTTCTTGTGACTGTAAAGGTTTTACAAGAGAACGGGAGTCTAACTCAGTCAAATGAGAAAACAGTTCAGCCCCAAAAGAGATTGAACAAATGTTCAAGTAGACAAAACAATATGCCACAGGTCATTTTGTCTAATTGAGGTTGTACATTATTTAGTTGGTGGAATTTGTTTTTGTAGTATCTGTCTGGTAATTTACAGTAAAATTCATTAGGTAAACGTGCTATTCCTTTGAAAACTCACATTTGGCTGCCATGTTAGAATCAAAGAGTCCAGTCTTTTTCATTAGGATCTAATGCGTTACACCAAAACCGTAGAGCATAATTGTAAAATGGAAGGAAAACTGTGGATGCAAAAGCCACAACCTTGACCTTTGGAGACGCACCTGAAAGACGTAACTGAAAGGTGATTCTTAAAAGAATTGCCACAGAAAAATGAATAGATCTGGAAAGCATGAAGATATTTACTTGTAAGTGAAACATTTTATTGAAGCATTGACAGAAGGTCTGTTCAACCGTTTGGGTGATCTAAGGTGATTCCACAACATTGTGTAACATTCAGCTCTTATCTCTTCTCATGACTGAGACGTAATTGAAGGAGGCGGTGTGAACTGGATCGTGACAGATTAGATTACAGAAATATTAGGTAGTGAAGCTCCTTGTGGGCCACGGAGAGACATTTTTTACTGTAATTTAGACTAGTGGTTCCAACCCTGGTTCTCAGGCCGCCTTTCCTACATGTTTTAGATGTATTTTTATTCCAGCACACCTGAATCAATTGACTGCATGTCCTCCTCTGCTTGCAGTCTACAGCTGCTAAATCTTGTTTATCACACAGTTATGTAATTCAGGTATGTGGCAAAAAGAAGACACCTAACCCTAGTTTGAGGACCAAGGTTGGGAACCACTGATTTATATAACAGAGGTGTGTTTTTAGGCATGTCACATGCTGTTAATAGATTTTATCCTAAAAAAAAACCCATTATTTTATACTGACGACTCTATCAACCCTGCTGACTTTGATTCCTCCTGTGAGCCCTGATTAAGTATTTATACACCTTGAACTTCTTCACATATTTACCATGGTAGAATTGCAAACGTTGATGCATTTTATTTAGAACTTTTGCGCCACAGAAAATATGGAAACAGGAATGATTGAAATAAAAATCTGAATCTGAATTTACTTTTAGGCCTCTGTGAAGCAACACTGTGAGAGACACATCTTTCCTGTATGAAAGCTGCAAGTCATTTGGAGTACGTCTCAAATGTCTTTGCACATCTAGAGACTGAAATGCTTGCCCACATTGTTCTGAACAAAATATCTCAACGTCTATCAGATTCATTAAAGAGCATCAGCAATATTAAATGTTCCCACAGATTCCAAATTGGATTCAGGTCTGGACTTTGGGCCATTTTAGTACAATAATATGTTTTGAGATAAAAACCATTGTGTTGTAGATCTTGTTGTATATTTAGTGGTATTTTGCTGCCGGAAGGTGAACCTCCTCCCAAGACTGGAGACTTTTCCAACCTCTAGGATGGATCTGTGTTTAGCTGAAGACTTCTTCGATTCCGACCTGTTTTCCTTCTTCATTCAAAAGAAAAACATCCCGACAGATCCCAAGGTTTTGCATCAGTGGCATGCCTTAATAGGTGATTTATAAATAGTTAGCGAGGATTTAAAGATGGGCTCTTGTTTAGTTGTGTATGATGGAAATGTGTGAAAGATGCTCCACAAACTCCACTTTCATTAACACAAAGACAAGTTGCACAAATCTGAGAACACAACAAAAAGCAAAGATTCTGGATAGGCACAAGTATTGATAAGTGAAGGTCAAACAATGAAATCTGGAACAGTTTCAGGTTAGGCTGATAGGAAGGGAGACTGACTGACCAGGTTACGACTGATCTTTACCAGCATTTTCACAGCTGTGTGACAATGCGGGCAGAGACGCACAACCATGGAATGAGTAACATGCACTTGTCTTTCCGGTCTATTTAGGTTCATCAAGCATGAAACAATGAACTGTCTGTGGTTTTCTGTTTAACTAGGAAACAGTTAAAATAATTTTTTACAAACAGTGAGAATTTTATGGTCAAAACGAATAATAAAATCATTTAATGATGTGATAAAATAGACGTTTTTCTTCATAAGTAGCTAAAATAATTGGTCTGAAGAAAGTACAGTTAATTCATTTGGTGTGAAACATACAAAATATCAGGTAAATTTGACAGGTATAATTAAACTTAGACTTTTTACTGAACAATCACCTTTTAATAAATTACATATTTACACTAGCAAAAAATCTGAAATTATTTTATATGTTTTCTAATTCTGGCTAATTAAATCTAGTAAACTTGTGCTGGTTTCAAAGATCCTTTCTCAAAAAGGGAACGTGAATGACTTTTGTTGCTACAAAACAAAACAAAAACTTTTGTTCTATTTAAATCCTGTTTTGTTTCCAGCAAATAACCCGAAACATGGCAAACAAAAGGTGACAAGCAGCTTCTGAATAACGACTAGATCAGACTGACAGATATACTGAGACACAGTCATTACCAAGAATGAGGATATAATGTGAACCTGGAAGGAAAACTGGAAATCATCACTGTGTCTTTGACATCACAGACAGCAGTCAGGAGTTGTTACCTGCATGCATGTGACAGCCGAGTTCACGGGCAAAGAGATACAGTAACTTTATGCCGCACTGTTCTTAGAGTGTGTGTGGAAAATACTAGCAACTTGGAGTTTTTTTTACATTTTGCTATGTTATAGCCTTATCCTAAAATGAATTAAACATATAATCCCCTTACTCTACTTGTAGCTGCTGAACAGGAATTCGACGGCGAAGAATCTGAACCCTGGAGGCCTCATCTGAGTTTTCAATGGGGGGTACGATCACTAACCAGGAAGTTCTCATTTTCCAATTTTCCTTTTTATAGAAGAAGTAACACATAAAATAATGCCAAAGCAGAAGCTCAGCTTTAGCTGATCTGAGTTTTCCTGGACGTTCCACAATTGTAACAGGGAAACTAGACCACCGCTCCACTCACGTTGCCAACTGAGCATCTGTCTCAGAAAATAGTGCAGCCACCTCAAAGAGTTATGTTTTTGATGCAATGATAAAAATATTTCCCCAACCAATCGTGTTGAAAACATTTAGTAAAAGTCACCACATACAGATTTTTTGTTTTCACACATTTTATTTCTTGTTTTTTTAAGATTCTACTTCCGTATCTCACAACATGGACGACAACATCACACTTTTGTGACCAAACCGCACCCATTCCTACATTACTGGGATAAGTATCAAAGTCAAGACTGGAGTAGATAAAATCCTTTAGCTTCTCAAAAGCCTTCTGACAAGCTGGAAACCATTTACACTGCCTTTTCAGTCAGCTGATGCAGAAGTTATCCCATCTCAGTGACAATAACAATAAGTGTACAAAAACTATTAAAAACAAAAAAAAAAGAAAAAAGAAAAGAACAAGCCATCAGGATCAGATTTAGAGGTGATGACAGAATAGTCAGTTTCTTACATAATAAACTGACACTCATCTTTCTGTCTCTGAACATCATAAAGGTGCACACTGTGAGCAGTCTTTGTATACTCCAGCTGATTGTTTACATCATTGTATCAGCCCTCGCCATATTAGTTGGATACAGAGTAATATAATTGAAAGATTTAAATTAAATGTATTGATTAAATTAAGAGTGCGCCTTTAAACTTACAATAAAATGAGGAAATGGAAGTGAAGTGTCTGATCACCGATCAAAGCCTTAAAAAGTGACTATAGATCAGACTAGTGGTTGACCAAAAGCTGATTATATATGTGTTTATGTAGTTAATGGAAAGAATCAGTTTAATTACTGATGCTAAATGACTTTAATCAGTATTGATTTTGTATAACTGAAAATGCCCTGTCATGGTGACTAAATGATACAGCATTTACAAAGCAAAGCTGTGCAGTGATCATGGAGCTCTGCCCACTGTTGAAGCAAACCAGATGTTGTTTGTGGTTTTGGTGTGCACTTAGTGACTTACTGCACCAGCTCCAACAAACATTATTTTAAATGTGTTCTTTTCTCATAATTTTCAGTAATCTGAGTTGTTATACTTGTGTAATACAGGGACAAAGAGAAACCAAGGAAAGCGCAAACAAGACAAAACAATTTTATTTAAGTACTGACATTCATATGAAAAAAAGAAACAAAGCAACCAAATAAAAAACAGTTTCTAAAAGTATGAAATGTATAAAACGCATAGTATGCAACAACTAACAGTTTAAAACAATTGTCTTTACAAAAACTGTTTTAAGTCCTGATTTAAATGAACCAATCGTTTCTGCACATCTCACGTTTTTAGGGGGTTTGCAGAGCTAAAGAACACGGAACTAAGTGCTGATGGTAAATGCAGAGCTTTAAAATAGTTGCTTTGTTCCCAAAACACCCTCATTTCCTTGTGTGAAGTAATGCAGTAACCTTAATAGTTACACCTAATCAGTCTGTTCAATTCTAAAATTATTGCACAATTAAAGGTGTGAGACCACAAAGATTTACAGTTTTAACTCAAACTGCCTGAACTGTGTTCTTGCCAGACTATCAATGACACACCTTGATTTGCATCAGAGAAAACAATGGCCTTCACATTGGACATACAACAAACAAGAAAGGCAAGGAATAACTGATTGTGTAAAAATGATCCTACTTGTTTGTCTTGAAAACCTTCATCCATTTCTATATAATCCTGGTCAGAATGAAGACGGAGGTTAGAGTGGTTGACTCCTTCAGGACAGGTACGAGACGAATCACTTTAAATTCAGATGAACTGAACTAAATCCATAGACTTTGTTGGTTGAAGTATTTTTGACATTTATTTCATTTGATATTTGTTCAATAAATCTCATATTTAACTTTTATTCCAGGACCAACCATGAGACTGAAAAGCTACTTTTTTCTTTTGGTGAACTTGGCAGTTTCATCAGCGCTCTCCCTCCCTACGGTAAATATTATTATATTTTATATATATAGCTGTTGTGTTATAAAGTATTAAGCGAAAAATGTTTGTAACCTTTACACATGTTAAAAAAAAATATATAT